TCCTTCCTTTCTTTCTTTCTTCTTTATACCCTTTCTTCCCTCTCCTTCTTCCTTTCCCTCCCTTTTTTCTTTTTTTCTTTTCTTTCTCACTTCTTCCTTCTTTCCTTTCTTCTACCTTTTCTCCCCCTCTCCCTCTTTTTTCTTCCTTCCTTCCTTTCCCTTTCCTTCCTTCTTTCCTTTCCTTCCTTCCCATTATTCCTTCTCTCCTTTCTTCCTTCACATCCTTCCTTCCTATCCTCCTCCCCCTCTTCTTCCCTCCTTTCCTTCCTTCCTTCTTTTTCTTTCTTTCTAATTTGTAGTAGTAGAGTTTTAATTGAGTGCTGATGACCTTGACAATTCCTGAAGACCACAAAGGGACTGCTAAGGGCAGTCTGCTAAGGGCATGCTGCTGATTACACTGTCTTGTCTCATTCTGGATGTATAGGTTTTAATCTCTTCCTTCCATTAGGTAAGCAATGTTTGTTAGAGGAGAAAAAAGGAGGTGCATGGTTTTTCCATACCACTTGCACATTTCCTGTTATTTGAAAATAAGCACTGGCAAATGGTTGACTAGTTCTGTTTTGTTTGTCTTCCAACTATTGCTAGCTCACGGTAAGAACTCAATCTATGTTTTCTGTTAGATGAGACGAGCACCTAGTATCTGGCCTACATCTGATACAAGTTTGTAGTTGCTGAAAGTATGAATGCATGATGATTGAATTGCTCTACCACCTTTATGTATTTGTCAAATTGAATTGAAGCCAAATGTGGAAAGCGAGAACAAGGAAAACTCCAGGGATCTATCTTCTCCATTTTGCAGGTGTTAGACTCCCAAAGAACAGAGCAGGGAAGGGAAAAAGCAGAAAATTGAAAGTGGTGGCAAATGCCAACTTAACCAAGTGCTTGTTGCCTGGATATGAAGTGTCTTCCCAAAGAATGTGTGTGTTTGTAAAGTTACATCTTCAGCTGATGGCACTACGGAGAGCTGACTGGGTCATGAATGTGCTAACTTCAACAATGGGTGAATTCTCTTCATGAATTCAAATATCAAAGTATTTCTAAAAATTCATAGTAGTTGAACAATGTTCTACAGAGGTAAATTAACAATTTTTTAATTCCCCAGAATGGATTTTTTTTATGTACTGACATGTACTATTTGTCTTGCCATTATCCCATTTAAAATTCAGCATAATAATCATCTGCATTACATTTACATTATATTTGGTATCATAAGTAATTGCTAGATGATTTTAAATATCTGGGAGTTTGTGTTCAAGTTACATCTGAAATAACCTGCATAGATTATATAGAGAATCTGTGTAATTAGGTATGTATTCACAGTGGGCCTAGAACTAATCTGCCACAAGATAACTATATATTTTTTAATTCTACAGTTGAATTCTATTGTTGAAGTAAAGAAAGAGATTCGGAGGTGATGGAGGGTGCAGTTTGAAAAAAGCCAGCCTACTGTGGACTTGGCTGTCCTGATCTGCGATGGGTACATGACAGGTGACAGCAGAGCCTTGAACAACTGCCACCACGATCCTCACTGCTTCCACCGTGGGAGAGCAGGGTCATGGGCCCACAGGAGCACCGGAGGGTTCAGATCTTAGCTTACATTTAACCTTCCACACCCTATTTGAGAGATGAACGACGTGATCATCAGAGAAATGACATTACTTTGCCAAGGCAGCAACTAAGATCAAAAACAAATAGCTTTGACGTTTTTCTACTAAATTGCTTATCAAGGAACTTCCGTAAGTGTAAATGCCTAAGAGCTCTAATGACTCATAAACAATCCTATTCTCATTCTTCTCAACCAACAGAATAAAGAAATGGAGACTGTACATTACATGCATCCAGACAACTTTCCTTATAGTAAGATAATGGACATAAAAGCACTGGTGACCACTACGTTCATGTACAATTGATGGCAGGTCCACCTATCTTTATAGAGTACACCTATTTTCAGTTGAGTCCAAACTGATTTTAACTACTTGTGTTTTAGTCCCTAGACTCTTACGAATTACCAGTCAATCCAAAGAGCAGAGTCAGCTAATGTCAGAAGCAAAATGAAGCTTAACTTTCTCTTCTTGCAGAAAACAAAGACAAATTTTGAAAAGTTTATATATTCAAGCATATGCCATCCTAATGAATATCTTTTGGAGCTATAACAGAGTTTCAAAAGTTGAATATCCTTTGCTAGATTTGATGATTGCTTGCTCTAGTAATGACCTACTTCTATAGTTTATTCAGTCGATGGTCATGATTTTCTGTCATCGTTATTAGAGATCCAGTTTGATATTTATCTGTAATGTGCACACACACACACACTTTGTCTTTACATTCTGCCTTTTTCCTGGAATAGACTTTTCCCTCCTGTACATCACATCCATTAACACAAGGGCTGACAAATTGCAGTCAGTGAGGGAAACTCTAGGTAAGTCATTGTGAAGTTTATCCAGAAGAGTGGAAAGAGAGATTGTCAAAGCTCTTGCCCTGTCTTGCTGCTCAGTTAGGGGATGTCCCTGGGGAAGATGGTACTTGATAGAAGTGGGGTTGGGGATATTTCAAACAGTGCAGTCATCTTTCTGTATAATGAACTAAGGAAAGCAATCAAAGGGGCTGCTATCTTGAATTATCAGGGAGCCCCACATTACAGTTGCCACACAACCACCACCCAAGCTTACGTACATCTGATATGAGTAACAAGCCAGACACATGAGCAGCAATGGAGCAAATGGCCGTGGCAAACAGCCACATTATACTTGAATAAACTCTTAGGGTATGCCACAAAGAAAAAGAAACCCAGTAACACACAACACACAACTCTAGTTCAGACATGGTTGACAACAACTAAATGGCCTGAGAGGACACACTTCTTTGTTCTTGTGGGACACAGGTCAGAGTGTATGCCTGGGCATCCTCTTATCTAGATGTGTTCTGGGAACTTAATTAATTAATGCTTCTGAAAGAACATCTTTTTTGGCATGCAGCTCACATAGGGACTTGAACTGGCTTCTGCTCTTCTATTTAATTTGAGCTGTCAGCCTTCCTATGAATTTGTAGTCCGGGCAAAAGAGAGAGGGTAAGGAAAAATCTGTAACCTCAAAGGTCAAATTTTGCTGAACAACCACTGGAGAGAAGCATTGGCATCATATATTAAAAGAAGAATGTCTGAATCGGCAACTCTCATGTACAAATGACAATATTGTTTCCTCCAGATTCATATCTTTAGACTGACCACTTATTACCCCCTTTGGAGTGCTTATTTGTCCTCAACAAATTTATATTGGGCCATTTATATCAGCCACTTCTCTGAATTTAAGAAGTTTCCTCCTATGGAAGTTTTATTAAGATCAAATAAATAAAGCAGTTGCTGGGAAATGTCGTCTTCCTGTAAGAAGTTGAATTACCTCAGGGAATGGTGGAGACAGGGCCACAGACAAAATGGAACAGATAACGGAGAGCCACAGATAAGCCCCAAACTCTCCAATGTGTCTGTTCCTCCTCTCATCATCGACTCCTTTTCAGAGTCGATGGTAGGCTGGAATATATTACTTGTGCTCTGTTATCTGTTGCTTATTGTTTGGAAACAAAAAACGACATACATGCTGCTTTTTCTATAATTAGTATTTCCTGAAAGTCTTAGTTTACTTCATAGCTACATCAAAATCCATGTTCTCATTCTGTGTGCTAAATTAGGTGCTGTGCTAATGTGCCACCTACAACCAGCTCATTCACATTAGAAAATGTAATATGTTGTTCAAAGAAGGAAGAAAGGCAGAGATTTGGGCTCTTCCTCTTCTTCAGCTCACACTTTCCAACCAGAGGAATGAGATAGAGGTGAAGGACAGAAGTGAAGGAGGACAAGAAACAAAAGGAAAACACCCCAAAGGGTAGCAGAAATTGAAGCGGAGAGAGAACTGAGAAACTGACACTTTTGCACAGAACTTTCCAGAAAAATTCAATCATGGGGCCACCAGGGCGAAGGATCTTTACTCACTGCCAACTCCAGACAGCAAATTCTCTGTACATAAGTAGACATCCCTTGTATTTCCAGATTTCCCTACATGATGAGACTCTGGAATCAGAATCCAGAAATCAAACACTGGCACTACTGCATTCCTGACTACTTTAACTCATTGCCTCTTCTGCTTCTATCAGGTGCACTTTGGCCCATATGAGGTTTAAATGAGTGAATCTTTGATTTATGTACAACTCCTTCCTTCCTGGTAGCCCTGTTCTGCTGTAATCACATCTTTCTTACCTTCTTTGATCTATGATTATTCTCTGACTATGGGCATCCACAAGTTAGAAGAAATGCATAATGTTAATATCTAGATCATCCAGGATTTTAATTTCTTCTGGTCTATGATATAGAAATGGATATTAAATAGGGGCCAGAATGTAAACAAGATCCGATAAATAATGATCAGTGAGGCAAACTGACAATTAAGCTGTGTGTTCAAAGGGATACATAGAAAAGGTAGCATTTGAGATTTCAGCAACAGTGGCCTTTCATTATCAATCAGTCAACCTACCATCATGAGATGGGGCTTTGCTTTGAATGATACACCAGCATAATAGCTTGAAATGATGGCTGTACCTTTTGTGGGCAGCTTTTCCAGAGCTACCTAAGAGTGACAGAACTATGTGCCAACACAGGCTCCAGGAAGAGACCTCTGTTGGCACAAAATCTCCTGAATATCACTGTTACTACATGTTGTACCACCAGCTTTCTGCTTTGCCCTTCATAGATGAAGCTGAGATAAAAGCAGTGCATACACCGAGAGCTCCAGCCTCCATGTCCACAGCAGAATGACTGTATTCTTCTTTCCTTCTCAGCTCCCTTTTCATTCAGCCCATATACTAATGTTCCCATGTGCCTCCCTTTCTCTTTGCTTCTTGAACCACATTTTCAAGCACAAGGCCAAATGAATCTACCTCTCTAATCAAGGTTGATCAAGATGCTGCAGGCAGGTTGATCACATGAAATTTGACAGGCACTTGAAACTTACAAGCTTCCCGAAGTTTCTCCTTGTCGTAGTGGAATCCTTCATAGTCTTGTAAACTGATTTTGTTCACCCGGATCCTCAGGCGATCTGGGACAGACTGGGGACTGCGAAAACAAGAATCATGTGGTCAGATACAAAGGAGCGTGGGATTGGGAGTCATGTACCTGGAAGGACTTGGGACAACAGTGTGTCTTCTGGCTTAGAATAAAAATTCACACTCCATCCATAGTTGTGGGTCGTTTGCTGGAACACAGCAATGGTCAAGAGAATGCTTCCCTAGAAACCACATAATTCCAGAATTTAGGTAAGAACATGGTCACAAGCAAAAAGAAAAAGAATACCCATTGGAGACAACTTATACATAGTTGCTATTCATTTCTTTTAAAATTTTTTAATGAGATCATGTATTTTGATATATATGAATTAGAGATACCTAACCTGAAATAGTGAGAAGTGGACTGGAGTTAACAAAGAACTATAGTAAATAAGTCTAGAGTCGTCAAGCCTGGTTTAATGGTGGCCTAACCATCAGAAGAAACAGAAACAAATCAGCTAAAGCTACAGACTAAGAATCCAAAATTGCTAGGAGTAATATTGAAATAGCACTCCCCTATAGATTAGTTTCAATGAAGCATGTTACAAATGCTGCCAATGAAGATGTCTCTGAACATCCAAAAATGAAGAAAAATTAGAGATATTGTATTTTCATTAGTAAGAGGATGAAGTATATTACTCAGCTTAAATCAATCCAACCTGGTTCAGAACACATCATAAAAATTAAAGGGGAAAGAACTAAACTTAGAGTATCTCACTCAACTCCAGAATTTCTATAACTAGATTCCCTCAGTTTCTTCTTAAATCCCATTTTCAAAGCAGCTGAATCCTAGGCATGAGTTGAATGAAATGATTTTATTTTTCATCACTTCCCACTCTGGGCCACAGTATTTCTTCAATATATTAACAGAATGCAATTCCTACTTTTCTCTCTCTCTTTCTCTCTCTCTCTCTCTCTCTTGGTCATGGGCCTGAACTCTGGGCCTGGTTGTTGTCCCTGTGCTCTTCAGCTCAAGGCGAGTGCTTTACCACTAGAGCTACAGCGCCACTTCCAGTCTTTTCTGCTTATGTGGTACTGAGGAATCGAACACAGGGCTTCATGCATGCAAGGCAAGCGCTCTACCACTGAGCCACCTTTCCAACCCTCCTATTTCTCTTTGAATGCTACTTTATCCTTAAACTTTATTGGTTGAGAAAATTTTCTTTACCAGAGGATTGATGTTTTTGTTCATTTTTATGTTACATGGTAATATGTCAGCAATGCGAGAGAAGGGAACAGAAAGAGGAAGGATAGAAGAAAGGAGAAAGGGAAAGGAAAGAATGGATAGAAAGAAGAAGCAATGTATAAAAAGGGAGAGAGAGAAACAGAAAAAGGAAGAAAAAGAGAGGACACATATCATTTCATTTCATGTACCTGAATAAGTGAGTGGAAAAACATAACACCACTATGCAAAATTTCATTTCAGAGCAAAGTATAGTACCTGCCTCTTTATAGACTTCAACTCTACTTTCTTAAAAATAACAAATACAGCTATAAATATAGATGCAAAGTTTCTCTTGCTCTCATACATGCACACATTTTAATTAATAATTTACAATGTAATTGTAAATACACAAATTCAAAGTAATATCATTGACAGTAGAACTGTCTATGATTCCCTGAATTAAAAACAAGCCAATGAGGAATTCACAGAGACAGCTGTGGATGGGGGTAACAGGAAGACATGTTCAGGGGCTGTGCTGGGCCATCAGTCAAAGTGTACAAAGTGTGTTTGTGGGCCATCTCCTCTGCATTGGTACAGCTCTCCTTGTGGATGAGTTGCAGAGGAATAAAACTTACCTAGTCTACATAAGCTGTGATGAGAGGCTGGGAGCTCTCATTTATAACTTAGTTAGCAGACGGTAAGTATCGTGCATACATAACATTTCAAAGAGAGGTTTAGAAAGGTAGAATAATTTTAAGGTCATGGTCATGGAGCAATGGACTGGCAGATTTGGAAGCAGGGGTTCAGTCTCTACTCCTATCGGTTTTATCCTCCACATTTATACAATGTCCCTTTAAGAAGCTGAGACTCCCTAGCCCACAAACAAATGCCAAGAATGTCATGAATTTAAGCAGCAAAGTCAGAAAACCAGATGATTAGCAGGGTCAGACCATCTCTATAGAGTGCTAAGATTGTTCTTTATCAATAAACAATGGAAGAAGTAAGTGACATTGGCCAAGATGCATTGTATTCATAACATGACCACTGGAATTAAACCTCTTTGTACAATAAATCAATAAAAATAGTAAAAAAAGAACATGAGGCAGATACCATAAAAGAACGTGTAGATGCATATTTATTTAGAGGGAAGTCTGGCTAAAACATAAAGTGAAAAACCTATCACGGAAATTTATATATGTAAATTGTACAATTTAAGAGTTTATATACATAAGGGAAATGTCTGGAGAAATGTTCACCAAGCTGTTCCAAGTGATTATCTCTCTGTGGTAGGAGCTGAGAGTTAATTTGCATTGAGTATTTTCATTTTTAGAGAAATAGTTTATTTTAAAGCATGCCAATCTAAATGAAATGGTAAGAATTATGGCAAAATAAAGTGCTAAATATTAGATGTGAGTGGTCAGGAGCAATTTGTAGAATTTAACAACATGAACACAGACGGTTCTAACCAGACACTTATCTTCAAAATAAGGGCGTCTGATCTCGGACTTTCCAAAATTGACTCAAGTTGATTTACAAAGATTGAAATTAGCAAATATGTTTTTACAAATGTAGCAGATAGGAAGGAAGCTTCTTCCAAACATCGACATAACTGATGGCATTGAACTTTAATCTTTTCCTGTGGGCTGGGGGTTACGAGACTGGAGACTTCACTATAGAGCGAGTTTTCAGGTGGGAAAGAGGAATCAGAGAAGGATGTTGACCAGTCCCTGTTCTCCCCTGCCTTTGAGGTTACCCCACGTGAATCACCTTTCTCAAAATCAGCAATACCCACTCCCTGTCCACTTCTGCCTCCATGGTTCTCGCTGCTGCCTTCTGACTCCACCCTACACAATGCTGCTGCCCAAGCATTGGCCTCTGTCTCAGCAGTCTTCTGGGCTTCCAGGACATATCAGCCACATAACTTAGAGCCTGTCATTTATGTAGAGAATTTTAGATCCCCAATTAATTCACATGTTATTTACTTATTCTCTGGAATGATCAGCTAAGCCAAAAAAGGAAAAATGGAAACTTGCTAACTAGCACTTCACATTCTTACCAATCTGCCCACTTCTTGCTGTCAGCTCTCCTCTTAATACATAATAAAGCCATGTACTAGTGGCTCACACCTATAATCCTAGCTACTCAGGAGGCTGAGCTCTGAGGAATGCAGTTCAAAACCAGCCCAGGCAGAAAAGTCTGTGAGACTCTTATCTCCAGTGAACCACCAGAAAACCAGAAGTGGAGCTGTGGCTCAAATAGCAGAGTGAGTGCTATCCTTCAGCAAAAAAAACTCAGGAACAGTGCCCAGGCCCTGAGTTCAAGCCCCATGACCAACCAAATAAAATAAAATACAATACCCTACAACCTATCCAGCTTCCCTACCCTAGTATTAGCATCTTTCTTAAACCAGTGTTTTCTGACTAAGCTGCCCACTGTTTTTGTTTTCTATCCAAAGTTACCACAGTTGGAGCCCATCCCTAAACATGGCGTTCTCCTGTGAAGTCTAATGTGAACGAGGCAAAGCAACAAACCATGAGTGAAAAGCAGAACAGAGGAAAACTATATCCAAAACACTCCATGTGCATATGTGATAAAAGAATTGGGAAATACGAAATAGGCCTGGGGAGAAGAAACAGAGGGAAGAATAATCGAAGGGATGGCAGATGGATATGTTAATGTGTAATCACCTTGTACAACCTTCTGAAGTTAAAAAAAAAAGCAGTAGGGATTGAGTATTCAAGTAAACATGTCTTCTTCTTGATCAGAGAGTTTCAATTTTGTAATAATCATGGATAAATCAATGCAATACAAATAAAAAAATCTCACCAAGAAAAAAGGTAGCTCAAAATTTTAATATGTCTAGTCACACGCTTTTAAAAATTAAAATGTATGCGACTTGGGTGTCCTCTTTGAATAAAATTACATTCTCACTTTAAAAAGTGAATAAAAGAACTCAGACTCCAAATTAGATTGACTGGATTTGAAGTTCTTGTAGTTGCTGGTTAATTAGGAAACTCGGTGCTTGAGCTTCCTCGCAAGTAAAATGCAGACAATAATAGTATCCGGCTCACAGGGATAGTATGAGAATTCAGTAAGTCAGGACATGTGACCTGCTTTGGAAAATTGCCTGACACATCGTAAATGCCCCACAGACATTAGCTAATATCATTAATTATCCCAAAAACTTCTCTCTGCCAACAACTTGTTATCCGCTGCTGTCAGATATTGGGGACAGCTGAGCGCACACACTTGGATGGTCGAAGACAATGCTGACAGGGAACTGGAGAAAGTGGTCTGGCTGGTGACCTGTCATGCCCCTGGCTCTTCTCCCACCTTGTCTCTTACAAAGCCAGCTACTGACACAAAAACAGACAGCTAAAATATGGGGGGTCGAGGGAGAGAAAAAGTACAGCGATTAAATGAAAGCCAAGGAATTCAATCCTGTCCCCTCATGTCAAAATGCATTAGTGTCCCATTAATGGTTGGCTAAAGGTGGATGATGACAAAGCTATTCTTTAGAGTCTGGGGAATAGCATCACCATTAGTTTTCTAAAATTACATTTTGCTGGGAAGTTAGTAGAGCAGAGAAGACACTAACAACCTGAGTGAAAATAAAACTGCCTCCCAGCCAAGTATCCACCTCAGGCTATTGGCATACTGACTTCCATGAAGCCTCTCATCTCTCCTGGAAGAGATTCAGCAATCTGTGGGCTTCCTTCTGTGGCTTCAACCCAGTCCCTTCTCACTCATGTCTTCTGCGACCCCACATCTGAGCTCCCTACATACAGCAGAACTTTGTGGCTCTGGACTCCATTCCCAAATGTCCCTACCCCAGATCACACAGA